AGGCAGCAGTCTGCTGACGTCAAAATCTTCAGCGTGCAATACTCGGCTTGACAGGCCTGAAACTATGGTTGGGGGTGGATCCAAAAACACAGTTAGAACTGGAAATGGAGACGCATTTGGCCAGATTGAATCGATGAGAACTGAGTGAAGGGAGAGCCTTGGAGAAGAGGCTACAGCTACTGGAGAAGACAGGGATGAGTGTGCTAAAAGGAACATAGGTAGGGGTGTACCGTGGGGAACATATGGATCTAAGGAACATAGGTAACGGAGAACATACCAGTAGGTACCACAAAACAGAGAGATGGCTGGACTGGAGCATTGGGATGACCCTGAGATGAGCTAACATAATATAACATATTTAAAAAACAATTTGTCAAGCTGCTGGTTGTTAAAAGTTAAAATTAAATATAAAATACAAAAATCTAATTAAAAATGCAGGAAGGAATAGAAAAAATTGTAACAAACCCAAATATAGTAAGTTTTAGGCACAAAATACTTTCTTTCCTGTTTTCAGCTTTTAAACTAATGCAAGCTAACTGATACAAAATCATCTGTAAGAACATAATTTCTGACTGCATTACAGCTAATTCTATTGTATTATGCTAATGCTTGCATTAGCATTGTAAAACTTTTCAAACATTGTCTCTGTCCAGATTGTAAATTTAAAAATAAATGTAGACTGAATGACAAGACAAATATACCTTATATCTTTTTTTTTAAATGGTGTAACATAACATTTTATCACAAATGTTTTTATTGTTTGTTTCAATCCATTGTGCAGCGAGGATCAGTTTAGTTTGAGTCAGAGTTAAAAATGAGCAGTTTGGAAAAACTGAAGTCATTCCTTAAACAGACAAACATTCAGACAAACGTCAGGTTAGGCACACGATTAAAATATCACATCTGCTGCAGAGTGAAATTAATTTCTGCTAAACTGAAGAGATTTCTTGTTTTATCGCATGTTTACTCAAGTATAAAGAAGTTTAAAACAGCAAAGTACAAAATAGTTTGATATCACGACTTGAGAGTTTCAGTTTTCTTCAGTATTTTGTCTCATTTTTATTGCAAAACAAATAATAGTAAAAGCTCATCCTGTAGTTGGTGCACTTTAAGTTTGACATAAATCAGTGTGTAAAGAATTATAGTTTGAATTCAGCATATATAAGTCT